TATATATATATATATATATATATATATATATATATATATATATATATATATATATATATATATATATATATATATATATATATATATATATATATATATATATATATATATATATATATATATATATATATATATATATATATATATATATATATATATATATATATATATATATATATATATATATATATATATATATATATATATATATATATATATATAAAGTATGAGAAAGGAAGAGAGAGGACCCTTTATTTAAAAAGAATAAGGAATAATTCGATTAGCATGCAATTTTTACTCATTTCATCGAAACAAGTAAATAAATAAAATAGTAATAATTTAGTATAAAAATAAATATTTCCTATATTTGAAAATGAAATTACATGAAATCTTTTTAATATATGTGATATTTTTGTAAATTGGCTCATTTATTTTTCAAAATATTTATTATATCGATTATCGATTATTCTAAATGAAATATAGGGAAAAACTATGTATATTGATACATACATTTTGTTTGAGTGGCGGTAAACGTTTTTACATTTGTATTATTTATAATTATGCCGATTACAAACGTATTTGGCATTCCTTCCTGTAGTGATTTAATTTCTTGCCTATATAGAAAAGACATGTCTTCATCAGCTATCAACAGCGTTATCGGCTCAAAGTAAAGTAAAAAAACTTGGGTAATACACGCTCGCGTGCGCGAACTCAAAGTACGAGTTAAATTGCTCCCAATGCTACCAATTGCTGAGATTTAGGCCGATATTCATAGTCCGTTCTTATATTTAAGATCATCTCAAGTATGGTCTTAAGATGCTATGCGGCTATTTCATTGGTTGAATGGGATCTTAAGACTAGAGTCCTATATAATCAGAGAAGCGACAATGGCGTTCCGCTTGCTGATTGGCTGACCGCCATGGGCCTGTTCCACTTAATGACCGCAACGCTCACGGTATCATTTCATCTTTGTTGTTCACCGAAAGTTAAACAAAGACAGATGATGCTCGCGAGCGTTGCGGTCGTTAAGTGGAACGCGCCCTATGTTAGTCCCGTAGTGAATCCTACGTGCAAACTAACCGCAACCGGCGTACCGTAAGTGAGAAAAAAGTATATTTGTCAAGCGACGCGGTAGCGTCCCGACGCCAAGTAATGTTATTTTCTAAAAAAAAAACATTTCAAATATCTCTGAGACATTTTTAAGACATTTTTAAGACATTTTAGATTACAAATGGGCAGCTGCGAGACCAACATGGCGATCATGGAAAGCATGGAGGGGGTAACGATGTCGTTTCTCTGATTATATAGGACTCTACTTAGTGCCGGTCTACAATAGGTGATTTAAGATTTAGCCTTTGTTTTAAGAGAAAAATTACATCGATCCTAGCCTCAAGCTCTAAGCTTTAAAAGATGGGAGTTGGCGAACTCGCATAGGGCTTAGTGCCGGTCTACAATAGGTGATTTAAGCCCTAAGCCTTAAGGAATCGACTAATCACATTAGTCGATTCCTTAAGGCTTAGGGCTTAAATCACCTATTGTAGACCGGCACTTAGAGATTAGGGCTTAAGGCAGCGCGAGAAATGTTTAAGGCCGAAAATACGTCATAGTTTATAGGTTAAGTCATAAGGTTTAGGGCTTAAATCGCCTATTGTAGACCGGCACTTAATCTAACCGAACTTGGTGAAATTGGCCCTAAGACGGTCTTAAATATAAGAACTGACTATGAATACCGACCTTACTCATTGGCCGCGTTCAGCAGAGAAAGCGCTCAGTTATCGTCTTGTCAACACTTGACGTTGATTCGTTGGTTCTAAAAGTAAGAACCAATCACATTCGATTGCTACTAAGCGGTTTTCTCTGCTGAACGCGGCCATAGACTAGACCGGCACCCACCGATCAGTCTATGCCGCTCATGTAATGGCCCTCGCACACTGGATGCGATGAGCAATGAGCGATGGTCGATATCCAATGAGAGCTCTGATTTTCCGAAGAAATAAAGCTCTCATTCATTGGATATCATCCATCGTTCATCGCTCATCGCGTCCAGTGTGCGAGGGCCATAAGGATCTAAGGATGCGGCCACATGAACTGATATTTTCCGCGTTAAAGCGGGGAGCACACACTTTTGCATAAGCGCATAATCATAAGCATAAGGAATTTGATTGGTCAATTTAAGAAGACACTTATTTGCCGAGGAATTACTTTCTTCACCACGGAAATAATCTGCAGCTTGCTCATAATGATGTACCGCACGCTCCAAATCAACTGCGTCGCTTTCGTAGATCTCAGCTATACTTTGATGATGCTTTGCTGCCATTGTGAAACGGCCCATGTCAGTATAAATCTCAATGGCTTTTAACAAACAGCTGATTGCCTCTGGAAAGACAGAAACATGTGGGTGTATAAGTTAATTATCTTACAACATTTATTTTAGAAATATTAGATATATCCCTATAATATTTATCGTAATACCATTTGTATCAGATTTTTTGAAGCAATTGGCAGCATCTACATAATTATTGGCTGCGTCATGCCGACCACCCGCTTTTGCATGTAAATCTGCCGCATCGTAAAATGCCTTTCCCGCCGAATTCCATTTTTTTGCCATCTTGAACAGATTTGCTGCACGTTGATAACATTCTACTGCCTCTTCAATTTTTGATGAGCTTCTGCAAAAATTAAACTGATTCACCAAAATTCTTTCGACACAAAGAATTCTTGTTTTGTGTGCAGAAGAAAAATATTATCGTTGATATGTATTGACACATATACACATATACAATACATACATCTATAGAAATCATGGTACGAGATGATCGAAATTTAAATATATATATAAATGATTGTTCGTCGAAATAACAAATTTCCCGCGATTTGCGATAGGATAATCGCTCGAATAATGTAAAATCCATATTTATACGCTTCCAATGGAGTGAGTTTGAGTAACAAATCGATCAGCTTACCCGAACAGTGCGCCAAAGAAGCTCTTCGACGACGATAACTTTCTCTCGGCCTCTGCTACCAGTTGCAATGCCTTTTGCTCACTATCGGCCATGACGATGTCGCCGAATGGACTTTTTTTCAGGAGTCCCTCAGGTTTATCAATCGCACTTGATAAATTTCAATTCTAAATCTCTCTTTTTATCGTGAGATCTCACTAAAACCGAAAGTACAACGAATCATCAATGCATCGAGCATCGAGCATTATCATCGTCAGGGTCGCCAATCTGTCAGCGAAAACATTTCGCCTGTGTCAAACAATCATAGATATATAACTGGATTTAGCATTGCGAGATAGACAAACGCGCACCCGCTGTAGAAAGAGAGATACTATGGGTGCGTTCCAGGAGCACACTTTTAGCGTTATGAGCATGCTTTGTCCTTGTTCAACTTTCCAAAATAACAAAGATAGAACGACGCTTTCAGCGCGTAAGGCCCGTGTCTGACTATGCATCGAGATTGAAATTTGACCAATCAGGAGAAGGAAATTTTAGTTCCTTTTATCCTGATTGGTCAAATTTCAATCTTCAATACGTAGTCTGATACGGGCTTAAGCGGGGAGCACACACTTTTGCATAAGCGCATAATCATAAGCATAAGGAATTTGATTGGTCAATTTCCTTATGCATAAGAAAATGGACCAATCAATTTCCTTATGCTTATGATTATGCGCTTATGCAAAAGTGTGTGCTCCCCGCTTAAGCCCGTATCAGACTACGTATTGAAGATTGAAATTTGACCAATCAGGATAAAAGGAACTAAAATTTCCTTCTCCTGATTGGTCAAATTTCAATCTCGATGCATAGTCAGACACGGGCCTTACGCGCTGAAAGCGTCGTTCTATCTTTGTTATTTTGGAAAGTTGAACAAGGACAAAGCATGCTCATAACGCTAAAAGTGTGCTCCTGGAACGCACCCATAGTATCTCTCTTTCTACAGCGGGTGCGCGTTTGTCTATCTCGCAATGCTAAATCCAGTTATATATCTATGATTGTTTGACACAGGCGAAATGTTTTCGCTGACAGATTGGCGACCCTGACGATGATAATGCTCGATGCTCGATGCATTGATGATTCGTTGTACTTTCGGTTTTAGTGAGATCTCACGATAAAAAGAGAGATTTAGAATTGAAATTTATCAAGTGCGATTGATAAACCTGAGGGACTCCTGAAAAAAAGTCCATTCGGCGACATCGTCATGGCCGATAGTGAGCAAAAGGCATTGCAACTGGTAGCAGAGGCCGAGAGAAAGTTATCGTCGTCGAAGAGCTTCTTTGGCGCACTGTTCGGGTAAGCTGATCGATTTGTTACTCAAACTCACTCCATTGGAAGCGTATAAATATGGATTTTACATTATTCGAGCGATTATCCTATCGCAAATCGCGGGAAATTTGTTATTTCGACGAACAATCATTTATATATATATTTAAATTTCGATCATCTCGTACCATGATTTCTATAGATGTATGTATTGTATATGTGTATATGTGTCAATACATATCAACGATAATATTTTTCTTCTGCACACAAAAGAAGAATTCTTTGTGTCGAAAGAATTTTGGCGAATCAGTTTAATTTTTGCAGAAGCTCATCAAAAATTGAAGAGGCAGTAGAATGTTATCAACGTGCAGCAAATCTGTTCAAGATGGCAAAAAAATGGAATTCGGCGGGAAAGGCATTTTACGATGCGGCAGATTTACATGCAAAAGCGGGTGGTCGGCATGACGCAGCCAATAATTATGTAGATGCTGCCAATTGCTTCAAAAAATCTGATACAAATGGTATTACGATAAATATTATAGGGATATATCTAATATTTCTAAAATAAATGTTGTAAGATAATTAACTTATACACCCACATGTTTCTGTCTTTCCAGAGGCAATCAGCTGTTTGTTAAAAGCCATTGAGATTTATACTGACATGGGCCGTTTCACAATGGCAGCAAAACATCATCAAAGTATAGCTGAGATCTACGAAAGCGACGCAGTTGATTTGGAGCGTGCGGTACATCATTATGAGCAAGCTGCAGATTATTTCCGTGGTGAAGAAAGTAATTCCTCGGCAAATAAGTGTCTTCTTAAAGTTGCACAATATGCTGCTCAACTTGAAAATTATGATAAAGCCATTCAGATCTATGAGCAGGTAAAAGACATATTTATAGTAGTAAAAAGTTATACTAAAAATATTCTAGTTGTAAATTTTACATAAATTTGATTTAATGTAAACTTAATTTTAATTTAAATGTTTGAAGCTTATTTATTTTACAGGTTGCTTCTGCATCATTAGAAAGTTCTTTACTCAAATACAGTGCTAAGGAATATTTTTTTCGTGCTGCATTGTGCCATTTGTGTGTCGACTCATTAAATGCTCAACATGCAATTGAGCGTTATCAAGAACAGTACCCAGCTTTTCAAGATTCTAGAGAATATAAATTAATAAAGGTATGTTTCTGTGTCAACTTAATTGTCAATTAATATTTTACACACACATACACACACATAAATATATCTATTTCTTTATATTTATATTTTATTTGATAATTTGTGCCTATTGTATATCTGCAGACACTGATAGAACATTTGGAAGATCAAAACCTTGAAGGTTATACAGAAGCTGTTAAGGAATATGATTCAATTTCAAGATTGGATCAATGGTATACAACAGTATTATTACGTATCAAAAAGCAAATTCACGATAACCCGGATCTACGCTGATCAGTTGTTTCTTATCTTTGTTACTTTCTGGCAACAATATTATTTCAGCTCCATATAGATTTGTTTTTGAGTCGCGTCCTGCTTTCGATAGAAACTATATAGTATTTCATATATATAGTTTTTATATAATGGCTCACACAATTATATCACCTTTTCGTAGGCTATAATCGTTCTCGACAATTCTCATTATTTATGTAAACATTTTTTTAAATCTTTACATATCCACGAAATCGTGGAAGATTACAGTCTGCAAGAATATAAGAAATGATTATTTTGAACATCTCAGTCTTTATGTTTGGATGTGTGTGCATGTGTGTATTCTTTTCTTTTTATTATTATTTTTTTTTTTTAATATACAGGCTTATTGTCAGATATATTGGCTATAATGTTACATCCAATGTTTTTGTCTTAAAATAATAATAACTAGGATCGTTATCTTATTTATTTCATATGTGTAGGCATGTGTGTATATATATATATATATATATATATACTTATTCATTTATTTATTTATTTATGTTCAGGAAGAGGCTTGAAAATGATTCGCCCGATTTTAACGAGTGTTTCTGTACAATTAGTTTCTGTTCACATTAACACATTCAAGTTTTTAGATCTTCAATTTCAGTTTATCAATTTTATCTTGTTAAAACAGCACTATATCTTGTAATTTCGCTGGATATTAAAATAATTTCTATCAAATCTACAACTGAATTGCATTATAGCTCTCTTTATGCATATTGATAATTTTAAACCAAGTCGTAAAAAATCTTGCAATAAAATTTCTATAAAATTTCTAATTTGAGGAAATCGGTAGAAATTAAATTAATAACGCCATGATAATATGAAAATATATAAATTTTCATGTAATTATTACATTTTATACAAATTCTATTGACATCTCTGCTTAAACGTTTCGATTATAACGTCATGCATATTTATCAATATTAAACAATTTGATCCATATGTATGCTATGAATGATAAATACATCAAAATATCTAGTATATCATCATGTTTTTTCTTTAAGTTACACCGATTTCAACAAAATATATATGAATTTTTTTTATATGTACATAAATATTTTATATTGAATTCTACTCAAATCTTATAAATTCTTTGAGAATCTCTTGATATTCTAGTTATTTTCGTTTGCCAAACAAAATTAGAGAATTTTTAGATACAAATATATATATATATAAAATTTGAGAAACTTTTCATTGTAAAATTATCCAAAAGTACGAGAAAAATAAATAAGAAATTTATTGATCTAATATGTTATTTATAGTTGCACACTGTAATTTTAAATTAAAAAAGTTAATAATCTATAATAATGGTTAAAATGATAAGAGTATAAATGTTTAAAGACAAATAAAGTGTGTATGTATGTGTATATATATAATAGTTTTCAAAGCAACCATCTACTCATCCATGTAATTTTCTCGAAAACAGTTGACAATAGAAACAAACGAAACAGGAAAAAATTTGATGGCGTAATAATAACTATGTATCTTTCCGATTACATATTTTTTTTGAATGCAATAATATATCATTGCATATAAAAATGCAATTGCACTTTTTTTTTTTTAATGAGACCACTCAGTTAAATATGTGCAAATTAATTTTTCTGAACAATTTAAATATTAAAATATAAGAAAAAAATTATGTTGGAAAAATGAAGGTTCTGCAAGATATTTCAAGTTTTTCATCCTTTATTTAATGCGATGCTCTCAAATGTTGCACTATGATATAATAATTTCTTACGTCATTTTATTATGATTTTCATAACAATGTTAAAATGTTATGTTATTACCCTTATATTTTTTATGCAGATTGTTTAGAAAGATCAATTTATGCAAATTCAACAAAATGGTTTCATTTTAAAAATGTAATGCATTATTTTTCCGATATATTGTATTTCAGAAAAAAATAAAATAAAAGAAATGGTCATTACTACACCATGCAACTTTTCTCTTAACATTTTTTCTATTATCGACCGTTCTCGAGAAAATCATAATAGATGGTCGCACATTTTGTGTGCATGTGTGTGTGTATACATAACACACACACACGCGCGCGCGCGTTATATATATATATATATATATATATAACGCGCGCGCGCGTGTGTGTGTGTCACACACACATGCACACATGCACACAAAATGTGCGACCATCTATTATGATTTTCTCGAGAACGGTCGATAATAGAAAAAATGTTAAGAGAAAGGTGTAGTAAATATATATATATATAACGCGCGCGCGCGTGTGTGTGTGTTATGTATACACACACACATGCACACAAAATGTGCGACCATCTATTATGATTTTCTCGAGAACGGTCGATAATAGAAAAAATGTTAAGAGAAAAGTTGCATGGTGTAGTAATGACCATTTCTTTTATTTTATTTTTTTCTGAAATACAATATATCGGAAAAATAATGCATTACATTTTTAAAATGAAACCATTTTGTTGAATTTGCATAAATTGATCTTTCTAAACAATCTGCATAAAAAATATAAGGGTAATAACATAACATTTTAACATTGTTATGAAAATCATAATAAAATGACGTAAGAAATTATTATATCATAGTGCAACATTTGAGAGCATCGCATTAAATAAAGGATGAAAAACTTGAAATATCTTGCAGAACCTTCATTTTTCCAACATAATTTTTTTCTTATATTTTAATATTTAAATTGTTCAGAAAAATTAATTTGCACATATTTAACTGAGTGGTCTCATTAAAAAAAAAAAAGTGCAATTGCATTTTTATATGCAATGATATATTATTGCATTCAAAAAAAATATGTAATCGGAAAGATACATAGTTATTATTACGCCATCAAATTTTTTCCTGTTTCGTTTGTTTCTATTGTCAACTGTTTTCGAGAAAATTACATGGATGAGTAGATGGTTGCTTTGAAAACTATTATATATATACACATACATACACACTTTATTTGTCTTTAAACATTTATACTCTTATCATTTTAACCATTATTATAGATTATTAACTTTTTTAATTTAAAATTACAGTGTGCAACTATAAATAACATATTAGATCAATAAATTTCTTATTTATTTTTCTCGTACTTTTGGATAATTTTACAATGAAAAGTTTCTCAAATTTTATATATATATATA